AACAGTTATAACTCTCTATTTACTTTAAAAGGTATGAGTAAATCAGTTTAATTTTTTTTTAAAAATTTTTTAAAAAAAGTCAGTTTAGCTGAAGGTTTCAGAGGCTTTGGTCCATGGTTACTTAGCTTTATTGTTTCTGAGTCTTGGGTAAGGCAGAGCATTATGATAATGAGCATAGCTAAAGAGAATGCTCATCTCATGGTCGCCAGGAGGCAGAAAGAGAAAGGAGGAGATGGAGGAAGGGACCAGGGTCAAAATGTGTCCTTCAAAGGAATATCCCCCAGTGACTTACATTCTTGTTCCAACTATGCCTGACCTTAATAGTTCTCTGTTGCCTCTCAATACCCCCTTAAGATTGGTTCCATAACGCATTAATCCATTCATGACTTTAGAGCCATGTTGATTCAGTCAATAACATCCCAAGGACACTAACTCTGATTTTGTGCACTGAAGAACAAACCTTCAACACTAGAGCCTTGATGGCAACAATGAAGGCCCAAATCAGCCACTATCTGAAATTACTGCACATATTATTTACTTGTTAATTGTTTTTTCTACATACACCAACATCCATGTGCACCAGATAAAGGAAAACTTCTCAAAGCTAGTGGTTTTGTTTATCATTTTTTGTCTTCATAATCATTCACTGACCCATAAAATGTTATAAGTAGATATTTTATAAATAATATATATTGGTGAAATTATTAAGGCTACTCCACGTAGTAAAAAGGGAGGTTTATTAGTGGCATAACTTACAAATGAAGGAATAGGTAGGTTGCAGGGTCTGGGGAAGACTTGGCGCAGTCTGGCAGTGTTCTCTGGAGAACTCTGCTTGGTCTACCTCTAGCAACCAGGGTCCAGGAACCAAGAGAGAGCGGAGCATCTGGATCTCGGATCTTCAGGGCCCTCTCTTGGCCCCGCCTTGTAGGCGTGACAGTTACCGAAGCCTCAATGGGGGTTGGAACTTCCAGATCAAAGCTGGAATGGCTACCCACTACAAATACATGAGAATATAAAAGCAAAGGAATGCTCATTACCAGGGATCAGACTTAGATGTTTGCATTCATTAACTTACTTGCCATATGACTCTTACAGCTTACATCCTGTAATGCTATACTGTTCAAATTCTTCCTTAACAGAATATTTTTATTACTTGGAGGGATCCAAAGATGCTCTCCTTTGTGGCTTCAGCACAGATTCTGGGTATGTAACGATTGCTTTGCTTTCAGTTAAAATGTTGCAAAATAAAAATCTCATGCTCAGTTAGTTTGCTGATGAGCACTTTTGAATCCACATTAAAATTTTCATAAATTTCACGGCATTGATTTTTCTCATTTTTATCTAACAATGAACAGAGATTTTAAAATGTTTGTAGTTTATGCACATGCAGGAAAGCAAGACAGATCATGAGGTAAGGCTTGAATCAAAACAAAATAGCAGTCATGGGAATCTTGGAATATACAAGAATTACTTCTTAAAAGCCTATTAAAAGTTGGTTGGAGCCGGGCGGTGGTGGCGCACGCCTTTAATCCCAGCACTCGGGAGGCAGAGCCAGGTGGATCTCTGTGAGTTCGAGGCCAGCCTGGGCTACCAAGTGAGTTCCAGGAAAGGCGCAAAGCTACACAGAGAAACCCTGTCTCGAAAAACCAAAAAAAAAAAAAAAAAAAAAAAAAGTTGGTTGGCTAGTTTAAGGCCTTTCCTCTTGGAAAGAATAACAAAATCAATATCTCTTTTCACCTCAAAGTTCTCCATTGCCTAATTCAATATGACTCATAGGTAACCAATATACTGCTCTGATCAGTCTACGTAGGATCCTGTGGGCTAGGGTAAAGGCATTTGAGAACTTTCTGTTTATGCAAACACCATTTTGATTTCTCCATACACCACCTTCAGTTTGCGAGGGAGCATTGTTCCTGCTCTGTCTCCCATAAAGGAATCTCTTTGGGCTCTGGAAACTCTACCAACCCCAGAATCAAACAGTGTTGCCCCTCCCCCAAACACTTAAAACACAGTGCTCATCTAAGAAGGCTGAAAACCAATCTGCCCATTTAGCAAGTACAAAAGTTTAAAGCCACAAATCTTTATGAGTATTCACAAATGTTGTGTCATGGCTGTTCTTGGCTTTAATTCACTCCAAAAATAACTTTCAAAGAAGCCATTTTACCAGAGGCCTTCATGGCAAACCCCACTGATTTGAGTGGATGAATATGTTGCTCATGCAATCTACCATTTACTAAATGGCAGGGAGTGGGTTAATCATGTTATTTAAATTCAAAGTCAATCTTAAGTAGTTGAGGTGAGTTATTTTACTATTTCCACTGGAGGAAAGTGCAGCTTTGAGAATTTAAGTAATTTGGCAAAATGGTCAACTAGTAAATAGTAGAACGGGATGCAATGCCCATTCTTTCTGATCCCCGATTACATGCTCTTAGTTATTACACAATACTGAGCTTAATGTTCTGCTCTGGTGCTCCTTAGTTACATGCCGAACGTATTCTGACCTCTAATTCCCTTTTTCATCTGCAGTCAGTGTCCAGAAGGGTACATCTGTGTGAAGGCTGGCAGAAACCCTGATTATGGGTACACGAGCTTTGACACTTTCAGTTGGGCCTTCCTGGCCTTGTTTCGGCTGATGACACAAGACTACTGGGAGAACCTTTACCAACAGGTGGGTGTCAACAGGAAGACAGGTCTCTGAAGGCTGGCGATGTCTATCAAACATTGTTTCCTGCCTTGTGAGCGACTGTAGCTGCTGTTGTCTTCACTTTATCTCTGTGGACGGTATGGGAATTCCTGATGTGCATTTCTAAAGTTAGAGGTAATTTATCCTGCTTGTACTAGAACAGACTGTTCCTAAATCAGAAATAATTTTCTTCCATCTTCTGAGCAACGTTAATTTTTAGGTCTTCCTTAGTATATTACCCCATAGGGTCTGACGTAGAGCAGAGAACATCGCAGTTTCTTGAACTGCCTCTTCATACTCACCACTTTCTTCACAGGCCTGCAAGACACTCCTGTACTGGCCCACCAGACTTCAGTGCTAGACCTTTCTTTACAATTTAATACTCAGTTCTTCTCCAAACCGTGGTGGTATTTTGTTGTACCCTAATAATATTTGCCTGAAGATCAGAGGACAGAACAAGCCATTAGATTAAACATAGAGGACAGGCAATGGTGGCACGCACCTTTAATTCTAGCACTCGGGAGACAGAGATCCAGAGATCCATCTGGATCTCCATGAGTTCAAAGCCATCCCAGATTATGAGAAATTGATTCAGTCTAGGAGAGAAACAGAGCCAGGCAGTGGTGGCACACACATTTAATCCCAGCACTTGAGATCTCATGCCTTTGCTACCAGTATTTGGGAAGCACACATGCCATTAATCCCAGCACTAGGAAGGAAGTAACATGACTGGGCAGAGAAAGGTATACAAGGCCTGAGGAAACAGGAACTAGAGCCTTTTTGGCTGGACCTCTTTCAGCTGAGGATTCAGAGACATTCAATCAGAGGATTGGGGGAGTTGACAAGGTGAGAAGCGGCTATGGCTTGTTCATTTGTCTCTCTGATCCTTTAGCATTTACCCCAACACCTGGCTCCCGGTTTTTTATTATAATATCATTTAAAATTCAAACAACCCCAAACTTTTCTCTCCTTTGTCAATTACTTCCTCCTCTGGACTTCATGGCCCTTTAAATATTCCTCAGCTTGCAACATCAATCTGCTCTACTGTTCATTCACGTCGCTATCTACTCTAGCATGGATGTGAGGCACTTGCCATATGGGCTCTATGTGTTTATTCCATATTCTCAGCACCCAATCCCAAAAGGAAAGTGGTTGAAATGATAAATCTATTATTCCATGTAGCCATGAATTTCCTTTCTCAGCATTACTACAGGTACTTATTTGGGCCTCTTCTGTGAATATTATAAATGTTATAAAATTGTATAAAAATATCTTTTGTAGGAAAATAAAAGTAATAGTAATAATGCAGAGGTAGAAACAAAGTCTAAGAATGCTTTATTGCTGGGCTCACATGGCCCTCTTTCTTCATCCTCCAGAGTATCCATAGCATAGTCCTCATGCTTTATAAATATAGACAAGGGGTTTATCTTAACTAAATTGAGGTCCTATAAATAAAAAAACTGACACATCATTTTATAAAGGGAAGTGAAAAGATGGACATATTTAAGTTGAGAAATGGAAGTTAAACTTTTCACACACTGGTAGTAACCTTTGTAGAAAGTTAATGAAAGTCAAAATAAATGTTTCCATTAACCTAATAATTCCAATTCTAGAAATTTATTCAAGAGAAAAACAATAACAACAGAGTGATAGAACCTGGAATTGAGTAACTAAACATTAGAGATTTCAGAGGTAGATAAGTTTCCCTAGTATCTCTGTACGATTTTGAATTAATCTAAAAATGCAGTACATGGCAGGAGACAAGCTGCATTTAAAAATTATTCATGGTGATCCTAGATAAAAATAAATATCCCTGAGATCAATAGATAAATTCAATCAATAGGGCAGTCTGTCTGCATCAAAGTTTAAAACAATAAGCCATGCTTTAAAAAGGAAAGAATAGGATTTTAACAATAAGGGGCCTGTTTCAAAAAATTAAAAGACAGCATGGAAGCTAAAATTACCAGTAATTTAAAAAAATGTGGAAAACGAGGGATTGTTATATTATCATATATAGTGAAAAATCAAACCTTTAGTGCCAGTTCATTACATTGCTATAATTTTTATAATATTAAAAAAAGTTTGTTTAATACTGATTTTCTTCAAATATATTATTTTCACTTATATTTCTATAACATGAAATTATACAAAATATCTGATTTGTATGTTCTTTGTATACCAATCACAAGGAAAAAACTTAGTAAAATGTTTGTATCATTAAAATAACAATGTCCCTCTCCATCCCTAGACCCTGCGTGCTGCTGGCAAAACCTACATGATTTTCTTTGTCGTGGTGATTTTTCTGGGCTCCTTTTACCTGATAAACTTGATCCTGGCTGTGGTAGCCATGGCGTATGAGGAACAGAACCAGGCCAACATCGAAGAAGCTAAACAGAAAGAATTAGAATTTCAGCAGATGTTAGACCGACTCAAAAAAGAGCAGGAAGAAGCTGAGGTAAGTATTTGTCATTACAAATATAAAGGCAAAGGGGAGACAAAGGTCTTTTCCATGTCACCTCTCCTGATTTCTGTAGACTGCCCTTGATATTGGCGGAAAAGCCAAGAAACAATTCCTGTTAGCTGTGTAAATCACATTCTCTTGATTCTAATGTGCTTGGAAGGAATGAGTTCTAAACAGAGTTAGAACTGACACCTCCCAAAATAATCTCCCAGTTTCATAATAGATGTTTTGAGACATTGCTCACAAATTCTACCACCCAGAATGTGTCAGCATGACGGTTTGGAAGAATATAAGAATTGTGTACCTTTTCAGCGATAATAGTTTTTCTTTAGCAATTTCATACACAGATAGTACATTCTGATTATTGCCTCCCTAACCCTCTCTTACTTTCCTCTCACCTGATTACCCTGCAATCCCACTCTACAAGTCCATGGTTTCCCACAGCCATGTCTTTTTTTGTTCTTTTAACCCACTGAGTTTAACCAGGGTTGTCTATGTCCACAGATTTGCTACTATTCACTTGAACCTCCTGAGCTAATCAGTGGATACAATACTGAAGACAGTGTCTACCTCTCCTTCAGAATCCATCAGTAGCTCATTAGTCAGCAGGGAGGGTAGGGCCACATGGGCCCTCCAAATATATAATTGGATGCTGACAGTCCCGGCCTTGTGCAAGCCCCCTGCTGGCAGCCTCTGCTGCTCTGATGTCATTGGTTGTGTCATTCTTATGTCACAGAATTTCATTTCTCTTATTCCTGTCCCCACTTGAGCATTGTTTCCAGAGCCTTGCAGAGAGTGATATGAATGGAATTTTTTGAGGGCTGTACACTCAGCTGTCACTTATTCTTGGTGTTTTGAGAAGTCATAAAACTCTTCAGTCACCACCTTTCACTGCCAAGAGAAGTTTCTCTGGTTAAGACTGAGAATGACATTTGTTGATCGGAATAAACATAGCTGTTTAGGAAGCAGCCTGTTTGTCACCATGTCAATTTAGCTAATTAGCACCAGTACGCTCCCACATAGGGTTGAAGACCTCCTCAATCATGGGTTTTTAACTTAGTTGATAGTACCAGGCATGGACTCTATCTTGTGAAGTGACCCTCATAATTGTAAGAATATGTAACTGTAACAAATAATATTAGTCAATAGTTTAAAGATAAAAAAGTTTATTAATTTTTGCTAATGTTATAAACTCTCAGATTCAGACAGCCACACTAAGGATTGTGACCACTTACGAGTAAGGCACAGTGCCTGATAATCTTCTCTGCAAAGGCGTACTTCAGTAGAAAAGGCTGGGAGGACCTGTACAGAGACAGATAATCTCAAATGTTTAGTTGTAGCTAGAGTTTTCCTGCCTGGCCCACAGTCAGGACAAATCTCTCTCATCCACCAGTCCCGCAGCTGCTCAGACCCAACAAAGTAAACACAGAGACTTATATTGCTTACAAACTGTATGGCCGTGGCAGACTTCTTGCTAACTGTTCTTATAGCTTAAATTAATCCATTTCTATAAATCTATACCTTGCCACATGGCTCGTGGCTTACCAGCATCTTCACATGCTGTTTGTCATCGTGGCGGCTGGCAGTGTCTCTCTGACTCAGCCTTCCACTTCCCAGCTTTATTCTCCTCCTTGTCCCGCCTATACTTCCTGCCTAGCCACTGGCCAATCAGTGATTTATTTACTGACCAATCAGCAACACACTTGACACACAGACCATCCCACAGCATTTAGTAAAAGCTTTAAAACCTGTCAGATGATTTGGTATAGCTAACCTCTTGAATGACTCTAGCATTAGCCCAGACCAATAATCTGTGATGCGGAGAAATCCTGATGCATAAATATGTGTAGTACAGCATTTTAATAATGTTAAAATTCAGAAATATAACCCATTTCAAAGAGTCCAAAAACATGTAGTAGGATTATGGTGTATTTGAGTCTTGACATTGTATTCATCTATAAAGTTATGTGCTTTTGAGAAAATTCTGTCTTGAGGAAAACATTGCTAAAATAACAATGGGTGGAATGATACACAGGATACAATCACAATTTAAATGTTACCCAAATACACAAATGACCTGGAGAAATATTACCACAACTCCTTTCTGAGGGTAAGATTGCAGGTACTTTCCTCCTTTTCCTTTGCATCTTTTTGTCCATCTTTTCTTTCTTGTTTTCTTAAATAATTTTCCTTTACTCTTAAGAATTTCAAACATATAAACAAGGAAATATTCATATCTACTCATACCCACTCACCTCACTCTCCTTTCCTCTAAATCTCCCAGCCCACCCCTCCCAATTTCATGTCTTTTTTTTTCTTTTTTGATGATCTACTAAGTCTGATTAGTGCTGCCCATAGGTGCATAATTATCATCCCCTGGACCATGGGAAAACTACCAATGGCTTTACACACAAAGAAAAAGTGATTCTCCCTGCCCCAGCTGCCATCAACTGCCAGTAGCCCCTCATTAAGGGCTGGGGCCCAGAGAGCACCTTCCCCATCACTGCCTGAATTTTGGTTGGCTTGCTCTTGTGCAGGTCTTGTGCAGGTAACCACAGTTGCTCTGGGTTCTTGGATGTGATAGCCACATCATGCCCAGAAGTCAACATTTCAAAGCTCTAAACCCCATTTTCTGGCTCTTACATGATTTTTCCCTGAGCCTTGTTGTATGTGGGTAAGGGGGTTGATGGATGTCCCATTTAGGGCTGAGCACTCAGTTTCTTATTCTCAGTACTTAGATCAATCATTCACTTCTGCATTAACTGTCCCCTACTGCAAAAATAAGCTTCTATAACCATGACTGAGGACAGCCCAAGTACAGGGGTATGAACATAAATATTTAGAAGACAACTTAACAACATGCCATTTAGCTAAATAACTGGGGAAGTCATAAACTCTAGGGTAGAGCCCAGTACTATTATTCTATTTTTAAAAAGCAATTTTTTTCCAGTGAGGTGATACAAGTACCTTCTATCCCTGGTACAGCTCACTTCTGAGATCTCACAAATCTCTTAAGATAAGAATCATTGTAACTTACAACTTTTCTTGACAGGCTATTTCCTTAATAACTCATTTTCATATTCAGATACACTACTCTCACTAAGCTATGGAGTGCCAGATTCCATTGTTGACACTGAGTTGCTTACCTGATCTGCAAACTCAGTATCTTAGCACACAGTTTGTGTGAGTTTTATATTGCAAAAGTACCTGTAGAACTTCAACACATAATACTTCAATTTGCTTAATTCTAAGAAAGTTCACAACATGTAAGAGTTACAGATACTGAAACTTTATTATAATGTGTGGGAGGAAGAGAACATGCTTCATAGGCTGGCTGGTCATCATACAGCAAAATGTAGGTCACTTCCTGGACAAGAGTTGTCACTGCCTGCACAGGTTGGGTACCCTGAGGCTTGCTTTGTCAAGGTTTGGAAATTACTTAAATGCTTTGATTGTCATGGCCCAACAGGCGATCGCTGCAGCAGCTGCTGAGTACAGTAGTATCGGGCGGAGCAGGATGATGGGTCTCTCGGAGAGTTCTTCAGAAACCTCCAGGCTGAGCTCAAAGAGTGCCAAGGAGAGAAGAAACAGAAGAAAGAAAAAGAACCAGAAGAAGATCTCCAGTGGCGAGGAAAAAGGCGATGACGAGAAACTGTCCAAGTCAGAATCAGATGAAAGCATCAAAAGGAAAAGCTGCCACCTCGGGGTGGAAGGGCACCACCGTGCCAGGGAGAAGAGGCTGTCCACTCCTAACCAGGTACTGCTGGCATCACCAGGCGAGGCTTCACAGTCAACAGGCAGAGCAAGGTTTAACTCTGGAGTCGGGGCCCAGGACAGGAAGGGGGCTTCACCACCATGTTTTACCTAAAACACTACCTTTGGCTGGGTGCTTATGGAAAGAAGAGAGATGTATATGTTTTTTTTTTTCAGTTAAGTTGTCATTTTCATTTAAAAAAAAAAGCAGTTGCTTCAGAATTGCCATATCTTCTCTAAGAAACATTTTTTTTCTAAAATAAAATGTTCCTGCAAAACTACTGTAAGACTGAAGAGTTTGTTCACTCCACAGATTAATTTCCGTTGTTGTATTTAGTGAATGTTTTTAAGACCTCATTCATGGTGAGAACAAGAGGATGAGGGGAGGGAAGGAAGGGAGGAAGGAAGGGAGGAAGGAAGGAAGGAAGGAAGGAAGGAAGGAAGGCGCCAGGCCATAATCTTAGCCTGGTGCCTCTCCCTTCTTCAGTCCTGTAGACTAGCATGGACCAAAGCACCAGGCAGCCATGCCTTTGACATCCTCCACTCCAAGCACAGAAGCTTCTGGTTGCCTAGTAAATGAATTCCTCTCCTGTGGATTTTCCCTCTCACTGTCTTGCTTTTTACACTGAAACCTCCACCCCCACATTCCCCTGCAAACCCATGAGATGAGCTATGGCTCCAGAGCTACCAAACATTTACCCATTACACAGCCCCACCTCAACTGTTGTCATAACAGACGTACACCTATGGGTTGGGTCACTCTGCAAAATAAACACTGAAGATCAAGAGTCACACCTTGTACAGATCACCAATTGGCTTTGGCTTCACCTTCTCAGGTTCCTCTGCCTTCCTGGATTCCTCGTTTGCCTGACTGGGGTGCTCACTGTTACCTGAAGACTTCCACTCCTTCCCTGTCTCTGTTGCTTAGTACAGACTTTTTCCCTTTTCTTTTATTCTTTTTATTTTTTCCCCAAGACTAGCCTCAAACGCTATATAGTCAAGAATGACCTTGAACTTCTGATCTTCCTCCTTCTATCTTTCCAGTGCTGAGATTATGGGTATTGGTGACCATGCCCAATGCAGGGCTGGGATTTGAACCGAAGATGGTATGCGTACTAGGCAAGCATACTTCCGACTTACCTATATCCCTAGCCCAGTCTGCTTCTTACTGAT